TTACCAATTAATTGGGATTGTTGTTGGAGGGGGAGGTTAAGCGGAAGAGGACGGACAAAGATACACATCACACGAACGCCGTTGAGGTCTGCACTTTGCCATGTTAACAAGTGTATCGAACCAAAGGTGTTCATCGTCCTTCGGTCCTCAACCAGGGAGCCGAAAGGCTCAAACTGCGGCCAACTTCGAAGTAAGAGCCTTCATTCCTCTTGACTAAGTCATCGTTTGGCCACCTCTCCCCTTCTTCCATCCAGACCCACTGCACGCAAACAACGCACGTCGCAGAAGCCGGCGGGCTGGCGTGCGCAACACGTGGCCCAGCTATCGGAGGCTGGTACATGAAATAACGGTGCTGAGTGGTGAATTTCCTTTTCTTGTGTCGTAAACTAGGCGTCGAACACGCTCCTTGCTCACGCGGTGTTCCCACCAGATGTGAGCTAAACTGCGAAGGCACCGGTGGTCAAACGTAACTAACCTCTTTATGTCCGCTGATCTAAGGGGGCCCAGGTTTTAAAACCATACAGTAGGGTCGAAGGTACGGCTGTATTGTACACTCTACCCTTCAGGGTGAGAGTGATGTCGCGCCGGCGACCAAAGTGGCAAAGGTTAGCAAAATCGCCCCGTGCTTTTGTTATACGGTTTGTGACCTCGACTTTAATTCCAGTGGCGCGGATACAACTTAACAAGCAGTTGAATTTTTGAACGACTTCTAGCTGATCACTACCAAGGGTCAGCGCAAGAGGCAGTTCCCAACAACCTTGAAGGAAAGCTTTGAACTTGGAGGGTTCAAAGCATAGCTCGAAACGGGTGACAGCCAGTGCTACTCTGTTCAGTGCCGCCTGGCACGTTTGGGAGCCATCACAGATGATGGCAATATCGTCAGCATATTCCAAGTCAAGAAGTCGTTTACCTGGGAGCAGCTCCATACCTTCTAAGTCCTGTCTTGTGAACGCGATTTCCATGATTTCGTCAATAGCGAAATTGAAGAGGAAAGGTGAAGGCGGGCAATCTTGTCTTACATCGCTGGAGATATTGAAGAGTGGCGACAGCTTGTCGCAACCCCTCACTCTGCCCGAGCTACGTGCGTAAAACGCTCGCATAATAAATACATACTTCTCGGGCACACCATTCATTACCAGACAGTGCCAAAAAGTATGTCGATCCACCGAATCGAAGGCCCTTTTGGTGTCGAGGAACACGGCAATGGTGGGTAGCCAATATATGTGACGGTGCTCCAATAACTGACGTAATGTGATTGTGTGGGCAATGCATCCCCGACCACAATGAAACCCGGCTTGCTCTTCACGAATCTGGCTATCACCGATGTCAGTCAGTCTGTGAAGGATAAGACAGGCAAGCAATTTGGAGGTGATGGAGATCAGATTGATTCTTCTATGGTTGCCGCATTCCGAACGCGAGCCTCCTTTGAAGATCGGGATAATAACGCAGCGGCTCCAGTCGGTTAGGACTGTTTCCTGCGCCCATAGTCGCATTAGCAATTCGTTTAAACCATCAACAAGAGCAAAGCCTCCGAATTTGAAGAGGGTTGGATGAAGATCAACTGGTTCCGCAGCTTTATACGACCAACAGTCCGATCTCACGTTCGACTTCTGAGTGAAGGCGGATCCAAAGGGACAGTCTATGGAGCAGGGCGATTAGCGGCAGGTGAGGGATCTAACAATTCCGGTCGATTAAATGGCTTTTCAAAATAATCAGTCCAACGTTCAAAATGTTTTGACAAGTTTTGGATAGGCTGCCCACACTCAGCATGTACCGTTTCACTAACACCAAAGCAGACGGAAAAACTTCCTTTGGTTACCAAGGGCAGCAGCCACTTGCATCTCTGACGCAGGATGCGACCACCATGCTTCACGGTCTCTCTTCAGGCTAGCACGGAGTTTTGCCCTGATGTCTTTGAGTTTCGTAGTGTTCGCTTCCCGCCCGAATGTGCCGGTGAGCAACCACCGACTGCGAAGAGACCCGATGTCGATTTTGGCTAGTGGATTTACCACATGATGATTTACCTGCTTCAAGTAAGGTCTGATGAGTTTGCGACCAGTGACCTTCAAATGTATTCAGTGAGTGCTTGCTCAACGCGAACGCCAGGGTGCTTTGATACACATTCAGAACACTTCGCTTCGCCAGTTGGCTAGCGTCTATGCGCTCAAAGCGACGGCCAAAACACACAAGCAGACCAGTATATACAACTGCATGATCCGTGTTCATCCATGTGCTCAAAACTGAGCGACAGTTTTAGACGCAGCCTCTCCAGCGATAATTGACTGCGATGAGATTGATTTGCGTCCAAAGCTGGTGGGCATCATATCACCTTCCGACAGGTGCTGTGTCGGAAGTTAGTGCTTACAAGAAATAAGCGAGCATCTTCATATAAATGAAGTAACCACTCACCGTTATCCTCATGGGAGCGCACACCGTGTTGGCCGAACAAATGCAGCTCATCAGTGGACATTTCCCCAACTTGAGCATTCAGATCCCCATCCAGCAGTAAAGTGTCCACGCTTCTTCTGTGACGAAGGAGTTCAATCGGTTGACGATAGAAGTTGTCTTTCACGGAATCATCGCTACAGTGTTTGGGGGTGTGGGCAGACACCTATTAGCCGTGCGCGACTTCGAAGGTTTGAACAACCCAGCCAGTCAGACCACACACATCCGACAATTGATTGGGATCCAACCAACCAGAGTAGCTTCAGCTCGGGGGCTCAGGGAAATACCAACATCGGTTTGGCCGTTATTCGAAGCCGCATCGTCTCCGGATAGGCGCAATGAGAAGGTACTGTTAGTGTCATCTGAAGGGGGTTGCAGAGTGAGAACAGAGCTGGGGTTTTGTAGGCGGATTTCCGATAAGCAGCAGATATATGAATAAATAAATTAAAACAAATAAAGGTTTCGTTCCTCACGGTGCCAGGCAAAATCCAACTGAAGGGACTGATCGAGAGGGTCTCTAACGTACGGGCAAGTGCTGCCTTGCCAGAAGATCCGCTTTCGCATCATCCTCGTACAGTACAGAGTTAGTTGGATAAGATAACGCAGGTATGTCACAACTGGCTTTGGTCCTTATGTTAATGTAGGCATAGTTTTTGGGCCTAAACCGAGATTGTTCAGCCAGATTATGCACATAATGGTGCCTTTTCCCGTGCTTCCTCAGAGAACATGGGTTTCTAACCTTCTTGTACTTGGTGGAATCCAACACCAGTTGAGAGACCTTGAATCTATTCCATGGTTCTCTCCGTTAGTTAATTAGGAGTGGTAAATTTCGGTCAATCCAAGGAGGACCTTTCAGAAAACGCCATCGTTTGGTCTTTGGGACAACTTGTTCAATCAGTAAGCTCATTTTGGAGCGCCAAAGGGTACAGGCACAGTCGGGTTTCAGATCTTGCGGCACGTTCCAATCAAGCTTGCTAACCGCCACTCTTAGGTGGGATAGGTAGGTGCGCCAAAAATTGCGGTGCTCAGAAGTGACCAGACGTCGCGTCCAAGTGTAGTTGATGGTCCAGTGATCGCTATAACCAATTTGCGGCAGAGTCGTCAGTCCAGTAATCTCAGGAGAGACTGGTGCGAGCACCAGATTGAGGATATGCAGTGGCTCGACCGGAAGCATCCTTGTAGGCGTGGAGACGTCGTGATAAGTTGGTATCGAGGACTGCACCAAGAAGGCCAGCATCAAATGATTTGGGAGAAAGTCCACAATGATACTTTTGCATCGCTTCGATACCTTCTGTTATATTGTGCAGAGGCAGCGTGTCTTGACAGTTATATTTGTCATAGTTCATGTGAAGCTGTGTGTGGAATAATTAATCAAAAACATGGGGCTGTTTTATTTTATGGCGCGACTGCCCAAAGAACATGTCAAATAGTATGCGATCCAACCGTAACGACTGCACTTGACTCCGTTGCCTGCTCGGAGCTCTTCTCTCGCCTTCTCCTAATCTCAGTTTCCGATTCTTTTCGACAAAAAATGTGCTCAACAAAACAGCCGTCAAAAGTTAGCAAGGGGGTTGAAACGCCAACTGCAGTTGTAAGCCAACACGGGAGCATTCGATTTATGTAGCACTATGGTTTTCGATGAAATCACCCAGCAAGGCCAATTTACCCGAAACCGCAAGTAGATAGAGGCACCATGTAATGAACGCGAAGTTGTTGGAAGTCCTCACGGAACATTATTGATAGCAATAATTTTCTTGCAAATATGGTCGTTATTGGGGAAATTTTACTACCTCCCGGGTGGTTTCATCGCAGGCAACCGCGAATTACTTAGCTGCTTTATTTGACATTAGTGGGGATGAAATACTTTTTATCTCTAGATTGTTCTTTGCCGTTTTTATTTCGTGATAAGTGTATCTAAAACACAGGCCTGATTGAATGCGCGCACAAAGGTTCCGAGGCTAAAAAAGTTGCATTTCACTGCTAGGTGCAAGCAGAAAAGCATACCAAAGATGAATAGCCTTGTCCTGATATGAATTCCGACGTCAACTGCCATGCAACAGTTATGATCAAAGCAAAAGTAGTAGTGAGAAGGATATTTACAGTGGGATGATATACTCTGGTATGATGCATAATAATGCACAGAAATGCTGGTTATTCTAGCAATATTCGTGTAATTTATGGTGGAAACTATTTTAATTACTTAATGTGATCCGTCGAAAAATTACTCTAACATTTGTAACCCCATATTCAGTTATTAACCTGCACAGATGTTAGGCCTTGCAAAGTCGTATCCACTCGAAATTTCATTTTTTAACTTCTTTAGTGGTATTATGTGAACAGCTTTTGAATAAAGTCTCATGTAGTATAAGCTAGAGAACCAGCGGTAACGTGATGATGAAAATCACAAGTGAATAGTGTCCATGAGGAGTACCAGTATGCTACAATACAGTCAATACGAAAGAAATGCAGCGAATACGCAGAGGTAGCAATGTGACGTGAGGAGAGATGACTAAAAGTGCGGTCAAGATGTAAAGACATAGGTGCAAGGAACTTACTCGGCCATCGTCGCCACAGCTGACCATAAAATCTCCAGCTTGTGACACGCTGATCTGATTCACTGCGCTGTTGTGCTGATTCGGGAAAGGATAAGATGAAATCCGTACAGAACAGGGGGATGCTTAGGAGCAAGCCACCGCACAGCAGAGATCAATTCAACATGCTCAAACAGACTTTATATTAAGGGTTCTACATTCTACGTTGCCTGACATCGGCAAATCGATCGCCAATAGGACCAACAAAGACAATATATAAAAAGCAATTACAACACCCTATATCAAAGGAAAGGGTCACGGCGAAGGTACTTTTATTGTTTCTCAGACCCACAAACCAAGAGGAGCAATTCGAAAGGGGTTTCAAGGTCAACGGCAAAGTGAAGGAAAAAGCAACGGGTTTGATTAGAACAACTGACTTTATTGAAGAACAGAATACAGGTTTTAGCTTCGACAAGCTTAGTGGATTTGAGGTATAAAACGTACAATGCCTGCGACAAATACTCTGTGGGACAGAAAGGAGAGAAGCTTAACACGGGGCAACAAAGCTTACGCTGGCCATCCACCGACAGGATCATAAACGTATAACGTCAATACACATAAACACCAAAAAGCACCAATTGCATTAAGGAATACCAGGAATACGGGAGAACAAGGAGGAGGAAACTGAGTGAATTGACCGAATTCTAAAAAATGATGAAGAGCTAGAGCTAGCTGGTGCATATGAAGCGTCGTGAGCCAAACCAAAAATGCATCTAGGGGCCAATGGCATAAATAAATTAATTATTCGGTCAAACGTCCACTCGCAAAACGTAAGGGGTGAGTGAGGAGCACGGAAGATAAACCTTCTTATGGCAGGAACTAAAAGTGTCATCGGCATAAGAAAGTTACTCACCTAGTAGCTGCACTAATCATGTTGCCTAGCCTGGTGACGAAAGCTTTGTTTCAAAGTACCTAGCCGACCCGTAGCCTAAAGGCAACGAGCTTCTCGTAAGCTGACGGCGCGGGTTTGAGCCTGCGTAGGGGCAGGGCGACCCCAGCTGTATCCTTAGCCCACGTGCGACCGGTGGTGTTTGCGCGGCATCGAAGCGAGGGTAAGGCGTACCAATGTAATGCTGACGCATTTCATTTGTATTTATCTGGCTTAAAAAACCCCAGAACTCACAGATGCTTAAGAAACATCAAGCGCTGAATGACCAGGTTAATGGTAGATGTTAGAAGATCATCCAAGTTTAAGAAACGCAAAGTGATAGAAAGAAATCGCGTTAGCGAAGCAGAGTATAAAGTACGAACCAAAAAAATAAGACGTAGTCACTCTAGATAGGGCTTTTCAATACAGTGGGATTACAGGTGTCTGGTAATCAGAAGACAGGTAATCAGGTCAGGAGATGAAAACAAGTGTAGTTAATTGAGAGGTCGTCACAACAGATTCCACATCAGATAGCCGTCCAGTGGTAAAAGCTACTGACTTGCAATGCAAGCCGCTGCTGATCATGGGTTCAGTTGCAACGAGACTGAAACTTAACGTGGTGCGACGGTTTGCGTACCTCATTGATCCATTGAGCTATATTGGGTGGTGTCTCCGGGTACCTTGACAGCTACTCCTACCAGGTTGGTCAATGGTGGGTCAGACAAACTCAGTCTCCTGGTCCTCCAGGTCGGGGGTTTAAAATGGGACGGCGTCCATTTTTGTAAAACCAAATAATTGCCACCTCCCCGCTGTCTTGCGGACAGCCTTTTGAGCCAAAGGCTTTGGATGAGAACCCGAATCGTCCTCCCGTCTAGGTCTGGGCGCCCTGGCAGTATCTCAACCCACATACAACCACGGCTATTTACTCAAACGTTAATTACATCCTGCATCGGCCGTCGCGCAGATTATCAATGGTCGCCTTATCTGCTGCATACAGCACGGCGGATAAGCGAAAACATGGTACTGCAGGCGCCTCCCTTCTTTTTTTCCACCTGTTTCTCTTACTCCCATCCCGACCCCCACTACTAACCTTCCTTCTATAATTCCCAGCTTAATTGACAGCAACCGAAGTGCCACTGGAGTAGAACCATCTGCAGCCACCATCCCACAACAGCCATCGGACGCCCATTGGTAACAGTCAGTTATAAGGACACGCTGTCCCGTTTCCCTGGCGACATTCAACATTCGCACTCTAAGACAAATAGGTCAACAGGCTGCACTCGCAAGCAACCTGGACACCCTGGGCATTAATGTGTGTTGCGTGTACGAAATTAAGGTCAATGACCATAGTGGGATTGTTGAATTAACTGCACCCGGATTATCCTCTCGCTATTGTTGCAAGCATCCGGAGACGCCGATGCAGGACTCACGAGTCAAGCTGGGGTAGGTATCATTCTAAGCCCCAAGGCTGAGTCATTGTTGGTTGATTGGTTTCCGGTGAACAGCCGTTGATGTGCAGCCCGTTTGACGACATCAGCTAAGGTTGATTCACGAAGTAGTACAAAACGCTGTTTGTTTGTGATTTCCGCTTATGCTTCCACTGACTGCAGTTCAAATGCTGTCAAAGATAAATTCTATCAGGAGCAGAACGCGCTACTACGCAGTGCTACTAGTTCAGATATTATAGTACTGGCAGGGGATATGGACGCACAAGTAGGGAGTCTGAGCACTTCAGCAGCTCAGCTGGGTGGTAATTATGGGGTTAACTCCGAACGGACTGACAACGTCGAGCGTCTGTTGCAAGTGTGTGAAGAGCCGTAACAACCGATACACCAGGCCACAACGCTCGGGTTACAGTCGTTTAGCTGACCTGGACTGCTTATCGGATTCCGGTAGTTTCCAAATCGCCCACAAGTATCCTACTCTAGTCCGTCGCAACGAAACTGGATCTAACGTGGAGCGACGGTTTGCGTACCTTCTTAACCCATTGAATTATACTGGGTGGTGCCTCCGGGCCCCTTGAGAGTTACTCCTACCAGGTTAGTTAATGGTTCGAGGTCAGACAAACTCAGTCTCCGGGTCCTCCAGGTTGGGGGTTTGAAGTGAGATGGCACCCATCACTGTAAAACTTAATCATTCCCACCAACGCTGCCTTGCGGACAGGCTTCTGAGCCAAGTCCTGTTACCGTGTTTTGTACCTTGATGGTGCAAAGCATATGCGGAGGCGTGTAGTGATAGGTGTCAGTCTATGCAGTAGTGCTTGCATAGCGACAGCGTCAGACCCAAGGAGAACTGTTGTCCGCATACTCCACCAAACGGTCCCTACAGCATACACTAGACAACGTCCGCAACTTCGCGAATGCTGCCGGCTTACAAATATGGGTGATGTAGACGCTGCAAAGCACTACAGTCGAACGCAACATTGTAGCGCGAAGTCAAGCACCCATATGCATGGCTCCTCAAATCAGTTTACAAGGATGTGCGACCTTCTCAACTCACGCCGTGAATGGTGATGAATGTGGCTGTCAGGTTTGTTGCAATTGGAATGTCAATAAACGGCTGGGGCATACCCAAAGCAACAGTATGATCGTAAGTTCTTGATGTGAAAGTTTCCTAACCTTATCCTGTACACTGGCTTTCATGACGTAGTGCAGCCTCGTGTCTGAAGTAAAACGTTACCCATAAAATACTTCGTACCTTATAAGAGTACGAACATTCGGTGATCAGACCTAGCAGTGTAAATTAAAAACCTGCATATGTTGAGCGATCCGATGTTTCCAGACAGAAGTAGAAATGTTTTTACCAATTATACTAAAATGCGGTGCGGATAGGATCGACCCATTTCATTTTCATGATACCTAACAGAATAACATGAAAGATAGGTGAACACTTACGGACAGGATAATCAAATGGAAGTAGACACTAGCTACGTATGGTGTGATCAAATCAAGAAGACGAGGAGGAAATATCGTCAATAGCCGACGAAAGGACACTCGGAGAAAGGTGGTGCAATCAATCTCTTAACGGAAGATGTGAAACAAAAGTAAGCCCAAGCGCTGTATAATGGAAATGCGGATTAGAAAAAAAACGGAGAGCAAGATGAGCACTACGGAAACACTAATTATAGAACGGCGTGTTGCGAATGGGGTTAATAACAACGAGTATCGTTTCCAGAAAAGTGAGAACACAGTTGGCGAATACAACTCTAAAAGTAAAAACTCTACCAGTAGCAAGCAGTGCAAAATATTTCGGACTCAACGAACATTACACCCGTAACAGCAATGTGGGGATCAAAATGCTGAAATACACGTCTGTGACGCCGTTTAGTCACGGAGGTCGGAATTCTACCGTAAGACAAGCCTTCTTTCAACGTACGGGCAGGAGAAAAAGTGCACAGGCATGAAAGGACAGTAGAAAATTGAACAGGTTCCGTCAAAAATAGTTACGAACGACATGGTGCAGAGGATACATGCGGAGACAGTGGTGCGAAAAGTGTGTGCACCTACCATGCTGTGGACGCCATTTTCCACGGGAAAACCAGAATGGTCCAAAATATGTACACGTCCTAGTTCGGTCCCAATGGCCAAGAACTAAGTGTAGGAAGACGAATGGGCAAAAATGCGTGGAGAAAAATAACTGTCGAAATGTCTAAGCACAACAATTGCGGCGCAAGAAAGGTAACATGAGAATGGTTTATAACTACGGAATAGAGCAGCGACTGGGTTGATGTGAGAATTCGGAACACATAGCTGTCTAGATAGAAGTGTTCCTACTTAAACACAAGAATTGTAAACCACGCGACACGATACCAAAAGATAATAAGGTGCGAACAAAGAGTATTCACCATCTGACATGATATCATGGCAGCTCAACGCTGTGCACTTTTAGTGCCCAGAGAAATCAAGTTTCTACGGAGGTAGGAACCATTAGAGATGGATAAGTGGTGGGCGTCTGTGTGGACACGTTAGACCCGGTAGCGACAGGATGGCACGGAACACACAGTCAGTCCGATCCAATAAAATAACCAGGATGCGAACAAGTGCATTAGTTGTTATAACATGCACCGGGATCAAGCGGAATGAGACACGTATCTATCGACGAGGCTGAGGCCGAGTGTTCCCTTCCAGGAAACGGTAAGCACTAGCCCGAGTGTCCCAGAAAGCTTTTTTGGTGGACACACTGGAGCTGGAATATTGACAATAAATAAACCGTGAAACAGTAGTTAGATATGGACATGGCCGAGACAACGCTGATTACACAATTAGGCGCGACGAAAATACACTAACAAACACTAACTGAAGTACCTCGGCAGTATCCACTCGGTGTTCCTAAAAGAGATGAGCGACGGTGGTCCAACAAGGCAGCCAAACTAATGCATACAGTTTGCAACAATCACCGCCTTGAGTTCGTAATAGTGTCAACGCTGTACAGTCCCGATTAGGAATCATAAACATAACACCGAGCTCACAGTTTTGAAAGGCCATACGAGCGATGCACGTGCGCGCAGTAACCCCATGGGTAAAACTAGCCACCGGAAGAACAATAACAACGTAGAAGAGTTTACCAAACAGTTCCGGTGGCTGTGTGGTGATCGCGAAGAATCTTAGTGTGTTGACCGTACCATGCAATGGTGCATAGAGTCAAAGGTTCAAACGAACAGACGAATCGCGCAGCACTGTGCACCGATCTAACAGAGGCGACTGTAAAATAACTGCTCATAGACAGTCCATCGTGATGAGACTGGACCTTAACGTGGTGCGATGGTTTATGTGCCTCAGTGAGTTATTGAGCTATGCTTGGTGGTGCCTATTGCACCTTCAGAGCCACATACACCAGATTGGTCAATGGTTAGAGGCCAGACAAACTTAGTCACCTGCCCCTCCAGGTTGGGGGTTGGAGTGAGGGTCACTCATTACTCCATAAAACGGGCTTTCTGTAGTGCAATGCCAAAACCCCGCTGCCTTGCAGACAGGTGTTTGAATCAAAGGCTTTGGTTGAGAACCCTAATCGTTCTCTTGTCTAGGCCTGGGCAACCTGACAGTATCCTGCCCACGCAATACACCATGACATTTCCTTCTAACAATCTCTTAATGCTCTGGCCATCGCAGAGGATAATAAACGGCACCCTGTCTGCTGCATCGAGCAGGGTGGATAGGGGTTTGGATGCTACTGCTCAGGACCTTCCCGTCTTCTTATTCCCCCTCTTGCGCTTTTTCATCCTTAACGTCCCGTTCCAACTTCATTTCCACCCCCCGTTTTCAATCCCCCAATTCTTGACCCTCCCCCGCCTTGCTTGAATAATCGCTTGTCTTCTAGTTTCAACTCACACACAACCGCAGGGCATCGCTCCAATGCAGTCGATAAGTCCATGTTCAACCAAGCAGACAACGTCAGTTCATCCGTTTCCCTTTGGAGTCCTCGCGTCTCACTAAGACTGACATGCCTCAACGTGCGCACTTTGCTACAAATTGGCCAACAGGCAGCACTTGCCCGAACACTCGAGACCCTACCGATCGATATTTGTTGTTTATCGGAAATTCGCCTGAAAGATTCGAGTTCCGTGCTTACTCTGCAATCCTCCACATGTGACACTAGCGGCATATTCTCATTGTGCCTCTCTGGCGATGATGCAACTTCGAATGCCGATCAAGCTAGCGTCGGCATTGTTTTGGGTCCCCGGGCTGAAGCTGCCCTGATAGACTGAATCCCTGGCAACAGCTGGATGTGCGCCGTCAGGTTGGCTGTCTCGTTCCAGGCTCTGAAGTCGCGCAGGGAAAAACGGTGCCTGTTTGTCATTGCGGCTTAAGCCTCCACAAACTGCAGCCCTGATTCGATGAAAAATGATTTCTATCAGCAACTTAACGATCTTCTTTGTTACAGAAGAAGCACGAATACTGTGGTGCTTGCTGATGATCTAAACGCCCAAGTCGGAAAAGTGTCCTCTGATGTACTTTATCTGGGCGGCCAACATAGTGTAGCCTCCCGTAATGATAACGGTGAGTGGTTGCTACACCTATGTGAAGGTGCTCGTCTCTTTCTGGCGAGCACTAACTTCCGACAAGGCACCCGCCGGAAGTATGACTTGGCGCCCACTAGCCTCGGGCTAGACATGGACGCAAATAGATCACATTGCGATTATTTACCGCTGGAGAGGCTGTGTCAAAAAGTGTCGCTTGATTTGGAGCACCACGTAGACTCCGATCACGCTTTTGTGTGTGATCTGTGGGTGCGTTACGGCGGACATCCGTAACGTCACTCGGAGCGCATTGATACCAGCCACCTGGCGGTGTTCTGAATGCGTATCAAACTACGCTGGCATCTGGGCTTAGTAAGCGTTGACTGAACACCGTCGAAGATCACTGGTCGCATATTCGTCAAACTTTACTATCAGCAGGCATGTCTTCATGTGGCAAATCAAATTGACAACCTAGACATTGGGTCTCTACAAAGTCGCTGGAACTTATAGATGCTCGCCGAGGTATTCTAGCTGGAAGCGAATACAATGAGACTCGGGAAAATCTCAGGTCAAAACTGCGCACTAGCCTGAAGAAAGACCGCGAAGCCTGGTGATCTCATCATGCATCTGAATTGGAAACAGCCGCTGCCGTTGGTAATAATCGCATTATTCCGTCTGATACGAGAAATACGCAGCAGGACACCTGGTGTTAGCGAGACAACAGACGACGCGAGTGGACAGCCGATCCACAGCTTGTCAAAAGGTTTGGACCCTTGGGCCGAACACTTTGAAAGATAGTTTAACCAAGCTGAGTTATCATCTTTTTCGGCCATTGAGTGCCCTTCTCCATGGGCCGTCTTCTTCGGTCCGCCCTCAAACGCAGTCGAAAGTGACATCAGACTGTTGAGATTGCATAAGGTCGCTGGTGCAGAGAGATTTCCCCGAGCTCACTAGAAATTCGGAGGACTTGCTATTGTACAAAATTTACACGAGTAGCTAATGGAACTTTGGGAGCAGGAAACTGTCCCGATAGACCGGAGCCACTCCGCCATAGTCTTAATTTTCAAGGGAGGCTCCCGTTCGGAATGCGGCAACCGTAAAGTAATCAGTCTGACCACAACTGCCTCTAAATTACTTGCCTCTGTCGTTCTCCACAGACTGACTGGCGCTTGTGAAGGCCAGATCCGCGAATAGCAAGCCGGGTTTCGTCGAAATCGAGGCTGCATCGACCACATGTTCACTTTACGTCAACTGTTGGAGCACCGCCATGATTATTAGCAACCCACCGTTGTCGTGTTTCTTGACATAAAAAGTGCCTTCGACTCAGTCAATCGACGTGCCCTTTGGGACTGTCTGCTGAAGGAAGATGTGCCTGATAAATGTGTAAACATTATCAAGGCGTTGTACGCGCATAGTTCGGGCAGAGTGAGGGTTTATAGCAAACTGTCGCCGTCCTTCAATATCTCCAGCGATGTAAGACAAGGATGCCCGCTGACACCTTTCCTCTTTAACTTCGCTATTGATGGAGTCATGGAGACAGCGTTCGCTGGACACGACTTAGAAGGTGTGGGGCTACTTCCTGGTGAGCGGCTTCTTGACTTGGAGTATGCGGACGACATTGCCCTAATCTGTAACAGCGCCCAAAGGTACCAGGCTGCACTGGGACGATTGGCACTGTCTGTCAATTGTTTTTGACCGTGCTTTGCTCCACCGAAATGCAAAGTACTTCTCCAAGATTCGCAGGGACCCAACCCTGCGCTAACGTTTTGTGGTGATCACCTAGAAGTCGTTCAGAAATTCAAATACCTGGGCAGCTATATTAGCACACGTGAGATTGAAGTTGAGATTACGAACCGTACGGCAGAAGCTTGAGGTGCTTTTGCCAATCTCCGCCACCCGTGGTAAAGACGCGACATCAGTCTCTCTCTCTCTCTCTCTCTCTGAAGGGCAGAGTTTAGAATGAAGCCGTCCGTTCAACTCTCTTATACTGTTTTGAAACCTGGCCCATCAGGTCAACAGACATTAAGAGGGTAGCCACGTTCGATCATCGTTGCTTCCGCAGCTGTTTATATCTGGTGGGAGCACCGTGTGAGCAATGAGCGTGTTCGGTGTCGCGCATTTGGTGCTAGTGAACCGCTCAGCATCATTAGAACATGCACCAGGCTCCGATGGTTGGGCCGTGTTGCGCATGCCAGCACACCGACTCCCGCGACATGTACTGTTTGCGCGTTGTGGGTGCGGTTGGAAGAGGAGGAGGGACCAAGCGATGACTTAGTCGAGCAATAGGAAAACCCTCACTTCGAAGTTGGCGTTGGTTGGTGCATTCCGAGTACTTAGCTGGGGTCCTAAGGACGATGAACACGTTTGGTTGGACACACGCTGATATGACTAGGAGGCGGCCCCAATGGCGTTATAAGGTCCTTTGTCCATCCCCCTCCTGCTTGGCCTCCCCATCCAATCACTGTCTCATTCGTTAGGCCTAATATAACTCTCACTTTGCGGCACGATAGCTGGTTGTGAGCTCTCCGGGACGATGTCCATCCGTTACTGGGGATTCAGCCGGCGTACTTCTGTTGTATTTTTCTTGTCCTTTGTATTACAACAATAGCTGAGGTGATTTCCACCTGCAGCTAG